CACTATTTGTTTATCTACACCATTTGTCATCTCAATTTACTGAACAGATTTCAGCCCTTTCGCGTACCATTTGTTTGCTCGCACGCATTTTTCTCCACAAAGGTCTTTAGAGCCTTTCATATTTTGCTTCTGCTGCTAATAGAGAACTCCGTCTTCTTCATGAACCTCGTCGAAAGTCGGTTGAGATGATTTTCTTGGACTTTTGGAAGTAAGCGAACTGAGACGCTCGATTGATTGATTGTAAAGGAGTGTTTAAATATTGGATTGAACCGGGCCCTGCTTATTACCATCCCTCATGATACACCACATCACTAACCACTGTGCTCTTGACCCTCTAGGGTGTTTCACAACGTAGCCAAATTCTTTGATTCCTTTTGAGAATGGAGTGATAGGCCTCCATTCAACTCCTAGAATTTGGAAAAGGTACGTCAACATAACGCGCGAGGGATATTTTGATTCCGAGACTGAATGTAGTTCGATTATCATGTTTGTTGCGCGATTTGAGTTACGCGATATTTTAAGACCGACAGGGTTCCCAGTATGACTTGTATAAAAAATCACAATGGAGCTTTTCCTTCAAATTGCCCTCTAGTTGTGGCCCTGGCTGACCAGGGATGCTTAGTAACTTAATTGTTGAAAGCTCGCTAAATAAATACCGCTGTTTCTTTGAGCCTTAAAGGGCCATACGGTACGTTTCGTACCGAACCGCGCGAATCAGCTCTCACTGAGTTATTGTAGTGGCGACGTCGGTCTCGCGGGAAGACAGGTAATCAGCCAGCCATGTATGCACTGACATGCAGATGCCGCCTGCCTGCGACTGCCGCGCAATCGACGGTTGGCGCCATTTGCCTATCGACGATGGTTCTTGAAGATTCGAAATTGGGTCCTTCTTCACACTCTTTTTATAGTGTTAGATACGCCTTCAGGGGCTTCCGTGCAAGTGGCTGGTGATGCACGGCGCAGTTCGACGCAGGTTTAATCGCTCCCTGAACCCTATCCGGCATTCAATTACGAACGCCTCGGCTTTCTTATCCTCCAGACTGCAAGAAGTGATTAACCAGTATTCTACGACGTTCATAAAGAAGACACCTTCTATGTCCACTTTATTGACCAGTTTTTTTCAGATGTGCCTAAATCCCATTAATTCTAGTGCTTAGTTCGTTTTATCGTCATCTTCATGAGCCTTGTAGAATACTGGTCGAGCACATGTCTTTGTAATCTTGAAGATAACCAAGCTTGCCCGTGATTTGTTGAAGTACCAAGAGTTTTTTTCATGTACACTTTTGTCAATTATGACTGCAGACTATTCCTTATTTTACCATCCGATTGTTCCGTTTTGAACAGTCCTTGTGACTAGAAATCTCTAACAACGACATTTCTCTAACTTCAGGTGGTTTTTCAACCAGTACAAATAAGGTGAACATGATGATGCTGATCTTTTCACAGTACGAAGCATTTCGATAGGTTTCCGTTTCTTGAGCTCTTGGAGGTGTTATTCCAAGATTCTTCTCTCATTCGGAATTAGGTCAAATTCTCCAAGATTTTTGGCGAATCCCGATCTAAAATTTCAAATAGTTGGTAAATGGTCTGAAGACATTTGCGTTTAGCTATTCCTTTCTTGCAATTCGTAGTGATACAAGATGCTGGGGTACTCACTGATCTTCTCGGAGTTCTCGTTTCTCATTCATTTGGTCACCGATAGAAGTAACTATATTCGCGTGTTCATTCACATGGAGCTTATTCGGGTTGAGAGATTTTTCAGGTTCAGATCTGGAATTCACGTCTGTGGTACTGGTATGTGTCAAAAATCATCTGACTTTCGCCGCTTTGGTTATACGGTTTGGCTTGCACGTCGGTATGATATCTCACATATTTTAACGAACTTTGCTTTTGATTTGACTGCTTTTGATTACTGTAGTAGTGGAATTATAAAAGCACAGTGCTAACGTCGGACATCTGCCGATGCCCTTTCTTGTTCTAGTTGATATATAATGTTTTAGAGACGCCTGTTTTCCTCAATTTTCTAGTTGTTTTCATTCGCGCAATGACGCATAAATCAGTTTTTTATGACAGAAAGGCCAGTAATTTATGGAAATATTTATTTCATACTAGGGGAGGATTTGGGGAGACTGTTTCGAATGGAAATGGTGATCTCGCGTCGATCGCAACAAAGCTCCATTCGCTAGGTGTCGCTAGAATCCTTCGTCTCGAAGGCGCTTATCGCTCGATCTTATTTGATCACTCTTCTTATTATCAGATGTAACTGAAATAGGGACACACGCGAGGTTGCCCACATAGTTGTTAAGTTCAGACGGTAATTCTAGTTAGAGTAAATAATAAAAAAGCAAACGACGGTGAACCCTCTCGAGAAATAATGATGGCCTTCGAGGTGCTGCGCGTGAGTCCTTTCTGAAGGAGTTGAGCTCCGTCCCCAAGGTGTTTATTTTGGCCTCTGCACTTCTGCAAGCCTTCGCAAGACCTGAAATAATATGGAAAAGTTTGAATATAGGAAGTATTTTCTATGAGCAGTTTGAAAATATCCTCAATGTCAATGATTATATATCCCAGAAAAAGTGCAGCGCACTTGTTTTCCACTCTCTTCTCATACGCATGCGACTTGTCTTGCCGAATCTTCACTTTGTATTTCGTATCGCCTCCACCCATCCTCATTTCGCCGGCCGCCTCTCGCCTCGGATTTAGAAGAATGCTTCTGAATGTAATGATATGCACATATGCAGTATACAATAGCAGCCAGTATCATGATCATTTTCAGAAAATACACGAACAATGATAATCAAAGATTTCTGAACGTTGGCTGAAAATAGCTGTTTGAATTGGCGCATTACCTTGCGCAGTGTATTTAGGGCTCCTGAAAAGAGTCGTTTTTGTGAGAGAACGTGTGAGATGAGGGAGTGGTAAATTGGGACGGTAGTGATAGGATGATTACCATTTACTAAATGGTTGCGAGGCTATGTCTTGTGTTATAGTGGGTAGTCTTTAGATGAATGGTTAGTGATACACGCTATCGAGAAGCAGTGTGTCAATGTAGTGATTTGACAACATCATCCGGAACTCTTGTGCAATCACATGGGAACGTCCGGCCTGGTTATTCCGGTGGTTGCCACAATGACTAAAATGGCTAGTATTCTGCGGTCTTCACGAAGGAGACGTTTTCTCATGGTGCTGTCGAGTAGCACGCAGACTTTTCGAAAATCTAGAGCCAGTGTATGAGAGGAAACGAATCAAATGTTAGAATTGTTGGGATCAGCGTTATGAAAGTGTAATTACAGGCCTTATGGATCAAGGCAAATATGTTTCAAATGTCTGCGGTTCTTTGCACATGAAGTCTTCCAGAGACGTAGATTACTCTCCTGGCGACCTTTTCTTACAAAGATTTAGTAGTAGATTGGTTGATGTCATATCTCTGATGTGCTCAAGTTAATCAAAATAGCATGCCAACATATAGATTGTCGCATGACTGCTAAAGTCTGAGTAAAAAGCAAAAAAATCCTCGTCACCAAAGGCTTCATGAACTTGTTAATTCTTCTCTGACATTAGTGCAGCCTTGAGGACTCTTATTGCCTTTATCCAGCGTACTGCTATCGTTGAGATCTCCTTTTTTTGGTAATGCTAGACGAATTTGTTAAATTACTGTCAAACTAAGTGACACTATTTTATATCCTTTGACCCGTGTTATATTTTTCTCTTACGTAAATCTCATTACTTCTACCATTCGATTCGCCTCCTGGATTCTTTGAGTTTCATGTTCTCTGCGAACGTCGTGGAATACTTGTCGAGCACGTCGTCTTGCAATCTCGAGAATAGCCATGCTGGAATGTTTCTCAGGCCGCGTGTTGTTGATTTCCGAAGAGTGTTGAGAGGCTGCGAGGTCAATTTCACTTAGAGTTGCTCCGAGCATCACTAGCTACTCGGTCATGGCCCTCATGAAGAAGTCTAACCTTTAAATAATTGAGAAAAGAAATGGAAAAATATGCCTTCGTGTTGATGGTTACTGATTGCACGTTGAAAGTTATCAATTCTCTGGGAGCATAAGGGCCTCTTTGATGCTCACTGCCCGGCGTCAAATCTCACCAACGTACTACAATGGTTGCGTAGCGTCTTGTGGTAAAGCAGGCAGACTGCTAAACATGCGTGCACAGACATGCATATGGCTTCTGACTGACTGGTGCGAAAGCGACTTCGCCTGCCTATCAACGCTGGTGCTCAAACGGTTAAATGTTTGTCACTTTGATTTTTATAGAAACATGTTGTAAGTTACCTCTATTGTCCGACAAAACTCATGAATTATCGCGATCGTTGAAGGGAGCAATCAACGTGATTTAATCCTATCGTAATCAGAGCGAAAACACTCAGACATATTCGGCGAACTCATCTCGATAATTGATTGTTTGAAGGCACTGAAATCAGTCATAGTTCTTCTTGTCGCTGAGGGTACACTTGACTTGTTGAATGATGACTCTAGGTTTCAGTTTAAATGAAGTGATAGAGTTGAATGACAATGGGCCAGTGTGGCGCAGTGGATAGAAATGCCCTGCGACACACATGTGGTTAATGGTTCGATCCCGCACTCAACGCTTACAAGTCTTTTGTCCTTTTGTTTGTTTTTGAGATATGACTTTCTCGAGAGCAAAAACGATTGTTGATGCTTCAGAAGTATCGTTGCGTGCCAAAGCAATACTCGAACCCAAACGATACTAATGTAGAAACAACAGACGTTTTTGCTCGAGAAAAAGTTCCATCATGAAAAGAATGTTTAAGTGTTGTATATCAAAATGACCACATGAAGCTGCTCTAAACAACCGTAAAAACAAGAGCTCAAATGCATCAAAACAGCAACAAATCGAGATATACCCAATAATGTGGAGTGGTGTGCAAAAACATCTGCACAAACAACAAAAACATCCAGCCGAGATTCGAACCCAGACTTCACCCTTTCCGATAACGCGTTGTAGCGCAAAAAAAAACGCTATGCAAAACAAGCGTCGGTAGTGCAACGGTCCAGTACACTCTCCCGGAAAGGGTAAGATCTGGGTTCGAATCGCGGCTGACGCAGATGTTTTTGCCCAGCACTCCACATTGTTGGATACATTACAAGTCTATACCACCGCAAGAGGCGATCGAATAAATGAATTTCAAATTATTATTAAAAAGGAGATAGTCTGGAAAGTTTCTTGCATCCCAATATCATCATCTGAGGTGCTTGAGTGCATCTGTTGCCTTTTTAATGTCTCGCAGTGGCATACGATGGATCACATCATTCGTACTATACTCCAGACATATCCGGTGCCAATTCACGGACCTTGGAGGAATGGATGACCAGAAAGCCTTGGAGCGGGATCGAAACATCGACCATTGAGTGATCGACAGCGTGAGTATCGCAGAGAATCTCGAACTAGTGAGCGATATTGTTTATTTACTGTTTATAGAAACGACATGTCATTAGAATTTAATGTGCAAATTTCACGACTTCTTGTAACCGATTCGTATCTTCATATTCGTCTCTCACCAAAGTTTTCAGGCATTTCACGCGTTGCTTTGATTTTTTTATGGTATTATGGACATGATGGTAGAGTGAGTCGTCTTCCGATCTCGAATATAGCTGAGTTGAGGCGCTCGCGAGTGCTTAGTTAATTGATTCCGAAGCTCGTTGAGGGGTCAAACCACCGCTTTGCTAATCACCGTGGTTCTTATTACTCTGCAGTGCTATCCACTGCTCCACTCAGGGTTGTGCATATCGCGGTTATGTCTCACTACACTGCGTTTAGATAGAATATCACGGGAACAAATGTAGAGCCTTATTCATTGGATTTTTTACCACGTTCATACAACACACAAATCTCTACATTTGAATCATCTGCCTCTTTTGCAGTCCGGTGATTTATTTTTCTTCAACAAATTGGCGATATCAAGTCCTCAGCGGTTGTCATAAAATGGGGTTCAGTGGCCGGCAAAACCTTGCAAGGAGTCATTTTCTTTCTCATGGTTTATTCAAGTGCACAAATGAACTTCCTATACCCTTGCAGTCATTTGGCAATTTTACCAGTGCATTTAAATCGCAGGTATTCTAGAGGTAAATTTATCACTCAATTACTCATTTTCGACAAAATTGGTACTTTGAAGAGTGTGTGCAGCTATTGAAGAATCACTAAAAGAGGCATGTGACCCTCTATGAGTTGGCATCGCACGCAGTACGCAAGATCTTGTTGTTCGTTATTCTACAGTCACGCGTACGGTGCAGTGTTTAAGGTGCTCTGCTATTCACACTTGGTAAATAATCGATGATCGATGATTCGATCCTGTGTCAAGAGTGGTCAATCTTTCCATTCAATGGGGTCGGTGAATTGGTAACAGATCAATTTGGAGGATAGCAGCACCGACACCGTATATTGGTAGGCCATCGCGAATCACTGTAAAGGTCGATATGAATTAAATTACGTCAAACGATGCCAGATGGGGCAAAGGCGGTGCCATCCTCAGGAATTGATCAACGCCGAGAGCTTTAGAGGTTTTGCTACGTTCTAATTTTCAATAGCTGCGATGATTTTCGGATCTTATTTGAAAAGAGAGAGCGTGAAATTCTCGAGGTGTACACTCGATTTTACTCTCAAAATTTATAAAACTTAATTGAATATTGAAAGCAACACGGTGGCATAGCGGGCGAGGGCTTTTTTCGCGCACAACAGGTGCTTCTGCGCAAAAAAGCATGAGGGTAGGGGATAGCACGGAGCATGAAATAAAAAATCGAAGGAATTCTTCTAAAATGCAGAGAAAGACCGAATCAAGTCGTTAAGACCCTGGCTCGGCTTCCCAATTGCGTGACATTGTGGCCTGTGTGGCCTCCATAGAAGTCATCGCGAACCTATCACAACATTAGCGTCGTCACGTATCATTAGCTACTGAAGCTTGTATGAAATTAAGAGATAAATTTCAATGTTTTTGGCCTTTGTCTGGAGTTGTGATCGCTGTCAGGGCAATGGTTAGAAGTATTGCACGTTGTATTATCAGTCTAATCTGGTTTAGCGTTCGAGTGAATCATCTCTTCATTTTATTAGGGCTGTGAAATATCTACTAGACTAGTGGGAAAGGCCTTACGCTGACCCATCACAGTTGGCGAAGGGATGGAAACGCTTGTCACAGTATTACGGAACTTCAGAAAGAAAATGTTCATCTATGGCTAGACGGCATCCTTGAGGAAGACCAAGTCTCAAACAGCCTCCGAACAAACACCTCAAATCCAGAATCTTTCGTGGACGTTGACGAGTGAATCGAATTCAATGAAAAAGTTGTTGAAATTGTACATCATATAGTGTGGAATAATGCAATTAGGGTAAAGAGAAAACAAACAATATTTGCTGTCAACAGTTAGATGGTCGTGAATGCACATGTAGTGTTTGGTTCAGTACTTTTTTACATCTACACGTTCCATACATATCATGGTTCATAGGAGCGCTTAGAATGAATTATTGGTTCGGTATCCATAGTCAGATTTACGGTCAATGAGCATCTTTCAGAGGATATTTCATGTAAGCTAATGAGTGTATAGGACACCTTTCATGCATTCCGCTCCCCTACGCTGATATGCATTCGCGTAATGCTACATTTCTATACATAGTGGTGCAAAACTCTGGAACTCCGTAATACTGAGAATGACTAGTATATCACTCGTACCGAGATACTGACCTGTACGCTGTAAATACTACTTATCTATGCCGAGGCGAAACAGGTCAATGTTGCGCTTACGCACGGAGCATATACGTTATACTTCAATGTCTTGCTTAGAAGCTTGTGGTAAAGATGGAACTTGGACGAGATTTTTTGGAGACGGCGAATTGCTGTCGACTATGACCGACTGTTTCTAAACGTTATTTGTGGTAGATAATGGATCAAGCTTTCGATGTTAAACAATCTCTAAAGGTTGTGCTCATGCATTTCTCTTCATTTAGCATGGCCTGTAGTTAATGTATACATATCTGACAGTGGCTCGCAGTGGCCGAGCAATTCAGTAGCTTGATGCTGCTATCTTTCTTTAAGCATGCTTTCAAAGGCTTGTGGCCAACTAGCTAGTGATCTTCCGTGCGCTTCGATGCGGCATTGATCCCCCCAGCACTCCCCGGCATCAATAGCGAACGCCCAGCTTGGTCATCCTCAAGACTCTCAGCGAGTGTAGTACGACGATCATGAAGAATACACTACATTCTGCACCTTTCGTCTTTTCCATAAACGTCGTACAATATTGATCAAACACTTATACTTGGAATGATGAGGATAACCAAGCCGGACTTTGTCTGTTAAAGTGCTGAAGTATTTTTGGTACTATTGTGTTATAAGGGCACAAATCAAAAGCCGGTTTAGTTCGCTGAAGAGGGACTTTTTTAAGGAGTTTTATTAGTTAATCAAAAGCTGAGACTTTACGCTACAGCCTCACGTCGTGGGTTTTCGTAAAAGTCTTTTTTTGACATTGTTATATGAGGAGACTTCTTGCGTTGCAGACGCGCATGTTTCTCGCCGGATAGAGCTTTTTCTTTGGACTACTAGTTATCTTTCGATAGCGTAGACGAATCTGTTTCCAACACTATGCTTATATCCTGAAAAGGTAGTTTCTCTGGAAAGCAGTAAGTAAAATAAGTTGAATTGCCATCGGCGGATAAGAGCTTCTTTGGCCTGTTCACCTGCGAGTGCATGAGGCGGCAACGTGACTGCTGATGCTATATTTTCTATGCGTTCACATGCTCGAAATTTCGACGGCCATTTCATAATTCGAACGTGGCTGCTTCAGCCAGCCACACGTCATTAGGTCGGAGACGCCCTCGACAGCAGATGGCAGTTCAGCTTATTTTGAACGCTGAGATTCAGAGAAAACGGTTTTTTGAGGATATAAGCATGACGTCCGAATCAGAAACGATCACGCTATCGAATGATTACTAACACACCAAAGAAAGAAATCTGTCTGTGAGAAATATGCACATCTGCAACGCAAGAAATCTCCTCCTGTAGCAACGTCTTGAAAATGTCAATTCAAAAAACAGTGACTTGGAGATGTAGCTGAACTCTCAGTTTTCGAGTGATACTAACAGTCCTATGAGAGTTGCTATCCAACGAATGAGATTGGCTCTTTATTTGTCCACTTGTAACTGAATAGTTACAGAAAAATCGTTTCCTTGCAACAGACAATGTCCATCTTAGCTTTTCTCAAGATTCCAAATAAAATAATCAAAAATAATGATAAAAATAAAATCAAAAAAATTGGGTTATAATTAAAAATAATAAATATTATTTGAATAAAAAGCCATCATCGGTTATTATATATTGACAAGGAATCGTCTTGCATCTTTGGTACTTTTCCGTTAGACGACACGGAACGAAGAATCAATCTCTCTCAGTGGGCAAGAACTTTTTCGTGAGAGTGTTAGTAAATCCGATGATGTAGAGTGGTGTGCAAAAACATGCGTCAGCTGTGATCCCACCTGAGGCAAATGTTTTTACTGGGTTTATCGTAACATCACACCACCGCAATAGGCGGTCAAATAAATTAATTTAGAGTTTAGTAATCATTCGAAAGTTAAAATCTCTTGCTACTGCCGTGCTTAGCCGTTTTATAAAAGTCTCTTAATACGCTTCAATGAAAGGAAAACATTTGCGCTACACACGATCATATTTCTCGCAGGACAGAGCTCTTCCTTAAGACTATCATTGATCATTCGATCGTTTCCGCGATTCCAACGTTGTTCTCATTTTCAGAAAAGACACTGCAGTGTAACAAGAAAAATTAGATCAAGTTTCACATCGTTGGCGCGCCTGTTCACAGGCTAATCTGCTAACGCGGTGTGCGGTCACCGTAAAATCGATGCGGCTGCCCACCATCGATGCATCGAAATGCGTTGTATCGCCATATGTAAAGTGTGATTTTGTCATTCGATGAGGGATTCTTCCTCAGCTTTGAAGGAAACTTTTAATATAATATGTGACTCTGATATTACGTGATTTCCTCTAAGCGTTCATTTGCATTTTGTTTTTTCAGCAGACTAACAGCTGATTTGCGCTGCCGATGTAAA